GTATAAATCAACGTTAATAATAGAGACAACGTGATGTAGGCAATTGCAAGTTGCAATTTTTAAATTACTTACGTAAAATGCCCTTTAGGCTTCTACAACGAAGTATGAATTAGTTTCACAAGTCCATTTAAATCATTCATTGCACCTCATCAAAGTTGGGTTTTTTGTAAGGTGCAGTTTACTTTTATTCTAAGGCAAACATTACAGACATGCCACTCACGTTTATGGAGCATTTGGAATATCTTTGAAACAAACGAGACCATGAAATTGCACTTTCCCGCAAAGCAAAATAACGAAAAGTCATGAAAGTTGCCAATACACAAGTGAATGGTAAGTCATGTATTTGACTTGAAATTTTCAGTAGTTATTTAACGACATGAAAGGAACGTATTTTGCCATTTACGATTTGTGCTTAGCTTTCAGGTTGCATTCCTTGGTGTCTGCGATTTGCCTTTCTGTCTGCCAGGTTGCCGGTAAGGGTGCTGAAGCATAAATGATCGGCCGCTCGTCTTTCGGCATTGGTTTCAGAGGCCACGCAATTCACCTTAATCATCGGCGTTTTCTGCTGTAAACGCACTTGGATTTGTGATTTTGGCTTTCGACTGCTAGGTTTTTTATCTCATTAGATTGAAAAATAAGAAAGGTAAGTAAACATGTTCGAGAAATTACGCAGTTTGAGGGAAAATAAGGCACTAGGATTGGTTCCATTTATCATTCTCATCAATTATCGTTAGTATAAACATGACTTCTAGTATAGGTGACCTGATTCCGACTTACATCCATAGAGGACTCTGGCAAAATGTCAACGTTGATTCCATTTCATTCGAGGCAGCTAATGGCTGTTATAGTCAAACTGGCCCAATTCAACCCTTCCGCGAATCACTCGGTGCCGTCTTTTGCCATTGAAATGCTGCAAAGTTAAAAGTCCAACAACGCAGAAAAATGCAAAGCCTTGTGATAACAATGCAGCGGAATCTACCTATTTTCATTTATATTTTGAAACACTTCAAGAACACTAAGTAAGATACGAATTTTTCGATGGCGAAATAACTTTGCTTTGGTTCGATCACCATAATTTCTTGGGTCAACATTTAGGAATGTAAGGATGAAACTCGGTGTGTACGCACCTTGCAATAGGTTGGTGGATATCCACATTGCTCAAAGTATTTTAAATTAAATATTGAGTCTTTGAAGAGACGAAATACGAACGGTACACGTAACTATATGACACCTAGATGCATTAGTAGGTTTAACACACAAGATGGCAGATCAACATAGTTTTAGATTCCAAAAAATAGCGCACTGGTGGCTGTCGGTAGTCCGACTAGTGAGTGTTAGACGGCATTACGTTGAATGATTTATACTGTAGACACTTTATTTGCACTTCAACCACAACTTGGCGCACACAAAATCATTAAAAAGAGCCACTAGGCCTTTTAGTATAATGGCGATAACCAATCGCCGGTTCACACATCTGCCTTCGCTCTGATCTTGTGTAGAACAGCTGAAGATAAAAAATTCGAACAACTGCACATTTGCGCAGGACTGCAAAGATATTTTATAGCTTTCGAGGAATTTTGCAGTTGCAAGTTTTTAGCTACTTGGAGGGAATGTTTCTAATTTATTCAATTTACCTGATTTGCCAATGACAATGCGGTACTTAGAACGGACACGAAGAAGAGAACTAGCAATTCCTACTAAAAAGGCTCATCCTTAAATCCATTTAGGCATTTTACTGTGAGGCAAATTACGCACTCTAATAAATATCAGGATAATGAAAAAAAAACATTTTTAATCATTGGTGTATTTTTCCAAAAAAATTCCTACACGAGAAGACTAGCCCTATATTAGTGTTAATCAAATCTGACTTCCCCAACCCGATTCGGTAAAAAATATACCATTTTGCAACAAAGTCGGTTCTTTTTTACATCTTATTATCTGATCTCCGACCCCAGAAGTATTCGTATGCAGTAGTCACAAACTTCCGAACTTTACCGAATGCAATTTCATACAACTAATTGTACTCTGGCCCATTTCTATCTTAAATCATTTTGGTCAGCAATGAGGTTAATTGAACCATAGTGACGTTGCCTACATAGTTGCCGATGTTAATAATGAGCAAATATCCCACAATTGCATGAAGGTCATCCATTTAATTTAAATTCGTCACTTCTGCATAATGGAAATTTGAATTAAGAAATATGTCAGAATAACACAGAGCAAAACATTTTTGCACAAAGATGCCTCTTCCTTCATAATTTTCCTGGCTTGGCAAAGTATGTTTGATGGGATCTCAATTTCTGCACAGTAAATTAAACAAAAAATGATCATATGATGGGAACGAAATATTGTCCGTTACAACGCCCTACGACGTTGCGTCGAAAAACGAGCTTAGAATGACGTTGCTATGCATGAGAAGGGTTTCTATGGTTTCCAGATTTTGTGCAAAATCTTATTTTACCAATATATTGGTTGCGTTAGTACTACACTGAAGACAATTTATACTGACACCTTCCACCTTCTACGCCATATATTGCATCTCTTTGGATGTACCTGGCAAAAGAAAAGTTCATATTGAGGTAAATTTCATGAAACACTTTCATTGCAATTTTGTTTTGGATGACGATTATGCCGACTATTATATTTGATCTAAGTGACAGACATTTTCACAAACATTCAAACAAGATAATAAAGCAACTTTTATCTAAATCACAATTTGCGGGTAGACAATATTCATGTTTATGGCACCAAGTGCAAGCCCGGCTTGTGCTTATGACGTGTTAGATGAGAAAAACAGTTCAATTCCTTTAAGTATTCAGGTACATGCATACAAATAGATGATTATATCGAAGGACGGTAGGTTTGCAGTAGCCACGGTGAGCGCAATGGATGAAATGGACTGCGTTGACCAAGTTGGCCAACATGTGGTGACCCGCGGAAAGGGTATCTTTCGCCTTAACTTGTTGTGAAAATTAAATGTGCACACATTTGCGATACATGCTGTACCATAATCGCAATCTAAACTGAGCTTTCACTCACGCCATAACTGAAGTTAATATATTTTAACGATGTGTTTATACTCGGATTCTTTTTAACATATCATGCACATCTGTGTGTCTCTTGGTAAAACTTCAGAGTTGAGATTGATTTTAAAAGTTGGCACTTAAATTGCTCAACTGAGACAGGTATCATTATTTTATATACAGTAAAATGCAGTAGAAATTACTATGACACAATTATATTGTAAAAAAATCTGCCGTGACAGTTGTGCAAATCTAAGTCGCATTAATTGATGCAGCCGAAATCCGCCAATGAGCTTTAGAATTGTTGTAACTGAAAACGCCTGCTATACTTTTTATGCAAACTGAACACTTCACGATGCATGCGATTTTCAAAAGAGTATTTGTTGTCATTGTTGAATCGAAGCCCGCACCACCAATTCTCTGAAAGCCAAAATAATCATTATGCTTAAAGCTTTGTTACAGTTGAGAAATCTAAACTATGCAGACTTTACTAAAATTTCATGGTTAAAATCATTGAACCGGATAAAACAGGCAAAGTTTTGGGAAAAGTTAAACCACAAATATTTAAACAGTAATCGCGTTAGTCAGTAAGCAGTAAACTCCGATTATCCTGTTTCATTGGAGGATCAAGTAGATGGAACCTACGTCTTACCAGTAAAAAATTCAATTGAGGGTGAACGTTTGGATTATTGTATGTTATAGGGTCGGATTACACTAAAGCCTAGTTTAGGTTCTTGACGAAGCCAGGCCACAATTTGACTTTAGGAAAATTTGCACCAATGGCCATCAAGTGTTTGTTAGAGCTCTGCTAATGCTGAAATCCAGTCTAGGTACAGCGTTATAGATATGAGAGATCATTTATTTCGTGGTTTACGGAAAGTCGTTCGGTCAAATGGCTAAAATTTTTAACTGGAAGAACAACGCTTTCAATTTTAATTCGTACAGTTCCGAAGCCTGAATATGGTTAATGTAAATGGAGGCCTGTTTTCACATTTGGAAGGTGGCATCACTGTTAGTCTTGTGTACACTCTTTGCTTTGTAATTGAAGCATCAATTGCTCTCCTTGACCTAGTTTCATGAATAATCCCGTATCAGTAGCTGAAAACCGCTGTTGTATCGCGACAACCAGTTTGAACAAAGCATTTTCCTCTTCGTCAAGCACTACTGAAGTAAGCTTGATAAATAGGACAACCATTTTCACAAAAACTAAACAAAACGCTGTGATGATAGTAAATCAGCATTTGGCCCTAAATCCAGCAAAAAAGAAACCAAATCTAAACGGGCAGAATATTTAAATAAATCCTCTTGAAATGTTGTCTATCTAAAGCATGATGATGTAATTTACTCTCAAAACTGTGTACGCAATTTTTGAGGGGTAATTATAATTACAGACTTCTCCTTGCAATGTTTAGCCGAATATTTTGAAGTATGAAGTGGGAGTCCATGGTAACTGAGCAGAATTACAAATATTGATGTCGGCGTTCTACTTGCAGCAAAACCACTAGCAGTCGACGACGGGTTGCAAAGCTGGTTTGTGTGGTAACTAAAATGTAGGGAGCGTAGGTACCGACCACACTTCGGAGCAAAGCTACATTTCATTTTTGTCTGGCAATATTCCCCGGACAATACCTACACCTCTGCATTCCCCTTTTCGGTCCAAAGTACTAAATCACGCTATTGGGTACGACTATTACAACAGATTTCAGCAACTACAAGTTGCGTAAATGATGAAGGAAGTGAGCCCATTTAACAGGCTCGTTTAGGTTTACCGGTTTTTAGATCGGTCTTGGAACCATTTACCTTATATAACTTACTTTTAACGTCAAAATCAAAATCTGTACTTAAAAAAACAGAAGATGACAGTTGGTTCGTAAAATAAAGTCAAACATTTCACACAAATACATAGTGTTTGATTCAAAAGGGGTGGGAAGAGAAGGAAGAAGTGTGAGGGAGTTCAACACCTGGTTATAGCTAATGCTAATTTCGTAGATGAAGAAATACAAGAATCACAAGCAGTGCCACAAAAACGATACTCAAAATGACGACAGAGGTTACGAAGGCTGTTAATCCAAGGTCAATCTTGGGAGATTCACTGTCGATCATACCTGTTGCATCAATCAAGTAACCTGGTGCCCAGCTAACGGTCGTTCCAGCAATCTACAGATGAAACATTAAGAAAAATGAAAGCTGCTTGTAGACAGGCAACTTTTCAACTGTTTTAGCTGCACAAGTAACGTTTGCTTAAAGTGAAGCCAGTCTAAAACCAGTAACTTTTAAATTATAGTGCAGCGCTGGTTATCACGTATTGAATTTACAGAATAAGGCCAGTTCGGCAACAATAGGTACTACGATAGCATTTATCTACTAATATAATTGATTTCAACAACAATCCAAGAAGGAGAGTCACGTGCAAGACTTCCACCACTTACGACGACATCCATGACCGTCCGAGATATCAGCTAGACTCAGACAATTCGTTAAAAAAGCGGTAGTACGCCAGCCTCCTTGCTATGCAATTAGGATAAGCAAGTCATGATACATAAGAGGTTTTAACAGCGCCTAAGATGTTTGACGTTTTAACAGAACTGAGAGGCGGAAAAAGTAGTACTAAGAACATATTAGCAAATTCTAAATCGCCCAGCTAACGTCCCAGAAATTGAAAGCTCTAAACTCTGTTTGACTTCACGCGAGTGCAGCCCGAATGTTGTGGTCTCATTTACCTTCGGTGAAAATACATTCATGGCTAGAAAGAGTCTAGAAGGAAGCACTTATGCACTAGTATCATATTTTACCTAAAGAATTGTACACAAATAATTCTTCGGTTAAAGCGCGTTATTGGAGTTTCATGAGCACACCGATTTAGTTGCTGAATTCCAGCCAATTGCGAATAGTCAGTCATCTGCGATTTTTCCTAACGAATGCCAACCAATCAGCTCCAACGTTTTGGTGAGGACTAACTTTCATTGCCGCTTTCAGACTAACGCAGATCAAATGTTTCTTCAGCCAAATTCTAGAAGACAGCCATTAGCGAAGATCAACCCGCTGACAAAGACTACCACACTCGTTTGCAAATGGCTGCTTGGTCATTCGCCCCGACTGACTTCGTCATTTAATGTCTGCCCCTTATTTTACGTTTTCACACAAATTTTAAACTAGACTCCGATAGAATTTTCAACTACCCCGTCAATGACATCAACAAAAAGCACTACAATATGCATAAACACAAAAGCATCCCTGTTCCTATGGTCTGAATGCGCCATATTTCATTCAACTCATCACATAACACAGATAACTCTCAAGGTCAGCTTGACCAGATAGTAAAACAGTCTACATCTAACCGACTAGACGCACCGCTATCGATGCAAGGAATGCTGTTTGGTTTCCTTTTATGGTAAATTAGACGCATAAAAGAAACCTAGACAAGGAACCAACATCCACATTAATTGTTGATTCAGACTTACAAGCAATTTGTTTCATTTTGCCAATTTTGTTTAAAAATATGCATGTCTGGTGTTGTTTAAAAAGGCAATAAATTACAAACAAAATAATTGCATAATTTTCTGCCAGAGTGATTTTTTCTCAATTTCAAGTAGATTTTGACTATTATTTCAGTAATATGACTTTGAAGAGTTTCGCAACCCTATTGTTCCGCATCCGCGACACGGCCACTCGAATTTTTCTCTAGGTTTGTGCTGGTTTCCGGCTCACCATAAATTGCAGCGTTGAAGGTGATTTTTTTTAACTTATACGAAAGACTTGCTAAGTGGATTCTAAAATTATTATGAGTAAACCATGCTCTACAAACTTAAGGGTATGGACAAAAATAATATGCCCTATTTGTTAAAGTTTCGGGTAAATCACTAAAAATTAGCCAAAAATCAGAACAACAGAAGTTTTCACTCCAAGGGAGGAGTAAGACGGCGTTTAAGACAGCATCCACGCAAAGGGAAATGCTCTATATTTGCGAATTCCGAATTCATAAAAATTAAACTTCCCTTAACAGCGTTCTATCTTAGACATGCGTGGCATTTATAACACGCGCAACGACAGTTGCTAATTTCACCTCACCTTTGACGCAAATACTATATTTTTCCAACTCTCCGAGTCAACGAATCCGTAGTTTGATAAAAGGGCATCGATGTATACACCGTCTTGACAGTAGCCAGCGATAAACTCTAACGAACTAGCCGGATACTCCTGTGCAACCTGAAATGAAGAATCGAAGCTTGCACCAAAGGAAAGGCAAATTACTGTGAAAGAATTCACCTATATCTGTCTGGTACGGTAGACACACCAAGAAATCCAAAGTAATTATTCTATGAGGGTATATGTGAAACGTTGAGTCGTCACCGAGCTACCAACATAGAACAATTAACCGAAATCATTCCTTCAAACTCCGCCATGATTACCTCTTAGAGCATCTATTAATTATCTTAGAACCATTATTTCGTAAACAGTAACTGACGCATACACAAGTAAAAGTGATAAAACTGACAACAAAATTAAGTGGTAGCATTTTCGATGCATTAGGAATGGCTACATCAAAAACTCACCTGAGTCCAATCGCGTCGGCAGAATTCATCTACTTTAGCCTTCACAGCGTCGCGCGTGAGATTTTGACCTTTCGTTGGAAAATTCAGGTGATCTATTACGAAGGCGTACCCACTGAAAGCCTGGACCAACGAAAAACTATAAACTAAAGCCACGGCATTTAATAAAATGTAAACAACCGCCGTGGCTTCAAATAAGGCAGCAAACGGCATCAGTAATTACGTGACTTACCACAACCATCAATACGCGCTTGTTTATGCCACATAAATCAAGGATTACAAAAACGGGAAGACGATAAATGGTATGAACGACTAGTAAGATGTTGCCGTACAGTCTGTTCGCACATACCGTGAAGAATGGTTTTCCCAGCATAGTGGGCACCACGAGCCCGTACTCAGGACCAGCCTTAGTAAGTGGCAATCAAACGACTAAATAGCTTTTTCCTCTTTTTCTACTGCCTTAGACTGAAGGTCGTGTGGGTTAAGAAATGTCGAAAAGTAATTCAACACTTGGAAAGTCCTATGGCTTATTTAATGACGGTAATCTCAGGCATTAATTGAAAAGAGACAAGGCAACGAAGGACATAAGCCAAATTGCCAAAGTTCGCTTCAACATTATAACGCACCTGGTAAGTTTAACGTCCCACACGTAGAAAAATGTCATTACCCGTGGGACGAGATGTGCAGAATTAACAACCCAACATTCCCGCTAAATTATAGCTCTAGAGAAAACAAGCACCTTCATGGGGCTGAATTGAATTTTTTTAAGTCATGCAAATCTTGGAATTAAATATGGTATTCGGTAGAAAAAAATGCAGATATGCTTTTATCGTGTTGAGTTTCAGATGGAAAAGAAGTCTAATCGACTGGCTGAAGATCGCTTCCGGTGAAAAGGCTCCTTTACCGGAAGTGAATGAATCATGCACGATGCTTGAGCCACTTGCATTGGCATGGTGTCTGCGCTTGTCCAAGGTTTCGTACCTCATGTGGTAAGATTAACGTTTGAATGCCTAAAACTTATGTTCACAACCTTCCTCCAAGTCTTTATGCATCAGTTAATGTTTTTCATGATGAATTAATTGCCTAAATTACGATAAAAGACGCCCGTGGTGCGGTGAGTCAATGGAAAAGTTACCAGTGCACCCTTCCACTCAGTTAAGGTCATGTGACACTAATATCAGAAGTCATAAAATGCACCCTGAATTAGTAATGACCAAACTGAAACGAGCTATTGGATACTTACGCTGCCCATGAGCAAATATATTTTAGAACACACACCACTCTAGACCACACTCAACACATGAATTTACTTGATACTTTCAACTCCCCATAGATATTTGGTCACTGTTACAAAAAATTGTTAGATAAATACCTTAAAATTAATATGAGATGGGTTTAAATAAATAAATAAATAATGTGCAGTCTCGAAACTCAGGTGAAAATGTAAAATGGAAGGTCAGCCCATGATGTGCCTCTGGCTAACTACTTAAATTAACGGTTTTCATGTTGTGGATTGATAAGAGTTAAAAAGTGATGCATTACTACTTCAAAGATCATATTGTCATATTAAGAGGATTGTTATCCAAAGCCATGACTGCACACAGGTTTCTGGCTTTTCACTTAAAACAGCTTCCAATCCAATCAAAGCATATTGCCAGGAATTGTGATTTCGTTGCCTTTAACAGAACACCCCGACAAATTTAAGCACGATTAACCTGACTGCAATTATTAGAGGCCCACAGAGCAAATAATTTGTCCAAGTTTCACTGAAAAATAAATGTAGAACTTTGGGATAAGTTGACAGTTGTCGAAATGCAATTTTCCAAAAGCAAGTGATGGGTTGTAAAGACACAACTGAGAGTCCGAAAAGGTACTTTAGTTTAATTTACTGGACGACATTTACGCTGGATCCTCATTGCTTCTTGAAGTGCCCGGAACGCTTCTATGAGTCCTACTTAGGCGATGCCTGCGTCAATTGTGGTACGTCAGCAATGCTTAAACAATCCTATGGTTGATTTTATTTTGCAAGCGAATGTCCATTCACTCGTACCTGCTTTTTAACAAGCATCAGAAAACAGATTTTGGGATTTGCAGACACTTTGGCTCATCTGACCACATATGTGGCGCAGCTTTAGCGTGGGTGGGCCTTACCAATCACGAGATACGGTCAGAGTCATAGGATAAACGGATACATTTGAATGACTCACACTGAATTTTCCATGTAACGGGGGCCGGTACACACCCTGGAACATGCAAGGCGATTGGGCGCAGGCTTTGGATGGAAACATCTTCTGAACAAATTGACGACATTGATCTGGGTCCCCGGTTCCAACTAAAGTGATTTCCTCTGGAAGAGCCTTGATAATCGAAAATTTATCAGATCACTAGTAGACGTAGAGAAGAGGAAGGAATGAACCAAGACTATTTTCACTACTGACTTTAAGCTCAATTAGACGAAAACTCAAAGATAACAAATCTCAGGTCATCCTGTTTCCTCGGTTCAATTTGCAAAACATGACAACGGGGGCGTCACTTTGCAAGAAATAAAATATGGTGCAATAAAGAGGGGCGTCATGGGAATTTCACTGCCAGCACATTTTCCGAAAGCTCTGCATCCACGACTCAATTATTTGATGCAAATCAAATGGTAACTTGTCAAGTCATGTAAGCAATGGCAACTTGTTCAGTTAGGCTTTGTGTGTTGTTTCTGAATGGTCAAACACGCTTTTTTCACAACCGCTTTAAAATCGGACTTACGGTGTTTGGAATTAATTCGGAACCGATGAGTTCCACGGCGTATTTCGACTTGACACAGGGCTCGGTAAAGATTTCACTCTTCTTCACTTTAAGTTCGTAGTTTTGAAGAAAACATGGGTTGTTGATGGTGGCCTAAAACGCAATAAAATTGTACAAAGACAAAGACACGTCACGTTAGCTTTATCACCTTAAAACTGTTCTTTGGTTTACTGGCGTGCAATAAAATAAGCATTGATAAGGATAACCTTCGATAGACATGTTCATTTTCCTGAAAGCAAACGGCCATTGCTTAGCAACATTGAGCTATTTATCATCGAGTTTCACAAGGTAGTAATTTTTTGGTGGTTCGCTTCGACATACATTTAGGACTACGTCAACGTGACGCGCACACGACAAGTGTGACTGACATTCGAAACTTTTGTGTTAGCTCTGCACGAGAACTTGTCCAAACGGTAATTGTAGTCCACGTACACGTCTCAATCGCTCCTCCAGCACATAGGTTATCCTGAAGAGCACTGCTTGATGGCAATTTGAGGCTATAAGATTTCGTTCTGCACACAAATTCCTGATGGAACGAATATTACTAATTGTGGTATTTAGTACACTCTAAAGGCAATTATTCTAGCATGCATTTCGTGTTTACATATTTGGATCGACTATTAATTTGGTGCAAAAGCACGCTAAAGTATTTGGTGTACGGTAAACACATAGACTTAAGTGGATTAATGAAAGCAACACCATCAATTCAAAAAAAAATTGAATAATTTTTGGCGACCAGTGTTAGGATGATAAAGACGTTATCCTTTTGGGAAACTGAGCAGTTCTCTTCGGTAAAAGTAAGGTGCGATGAAACGGTGACAACCTACAGTGCTTTGATTGCCAATTATTTCCGCCCAAACTCGTTTCTGGCTGGCGCTCTTCCCGTAGCACAGATGACTGTAGCTATACACGTAGTACTCCGATCCAAATAGATACCTCGTCGACGTGTGAGGTGCGAGCGAAGGGTTTTTAGGAACAAACGTGATTTGAGCGCTGGCACCACCAAGATCCAATGCCCCGATCATTTCTTGTCCACTTGACGGCGCAACACCATGCTGAAACGTGTCAAAACATTAAAAGTACACATAACGTTAGGTTGTTCACCTAACGTAAGCTGAAAAGCTAAATGTTAAAAGCAGAAAAAAACTTAACCGTCTTTAAAACTATTATTTTTATTTTGCACAGAATAAAGTTAAACGAATAAGTAAAAACGCTCGACTTAAAAAGATTCTTTAAAATTATCACAAAAATGTCGATAGGAGTCGCCAACTTGTGGAAGGCCTGGAATAAAACTTGGAATGATACATTGCTGTCATGTGGTATACTGAGCGAGCCATGAAGCAGAATAGATACACACGGATTGCGTACAGACGATTGACCCTTTCGCAAACGGAATCAAAGCTAAATGGCGTATTGTTGACAAAACGGAGACTTCAGATTTCGGATTTTCAGTGGTAGGTCATAAGAACTGATAACGCATCAGCAAAGTTCGGGCCATGGTGTTTAGTAGTTTAACTTTTCAGAGGTATAAACAAAATACCATCCCGAACACCTCCATGATTTCACATTCGTCAACTTATGGTAATTTTTCGATTGCGTTTATTTTATTAGAATGTTTCGATCATTTGAGCACAACAAAAGGCACATCACGAACCAAGAAGCGAGTCTACTATCAAACAACGTCAATCACAGAATGACATCACTAAGGTTCTCAGTTGCACTGGGAGCAATCTCATCTGCTTCCAATCATGAGCAAATTCATCCGAAGGTTTTTTTCGTATTTTGTGTTACCCAATAAAAGTGCCATATTCCCCGAATCATACATACAGACTTTGACTTGATAAACACTAGAGCGAATAACTTGAAGCAAAGTCTTAATTTACAGAGAATAATATTTGAGAATATAGGTTTACCTTACCTCAAAAAAATCACTTCTTTGCGTATCTTAACACACCGTGGTAACTTCGAGCAGTGTGCATCGAAAATACCAAATTCAATGGGATGGGCTAACGGTATTTTAATATTAAGATACTCAAATTCAGGTTACATTTGTAACACACTTCAAACGTCCCAAATTTCATATTGAAGATTTTAATTATTTCATAAAAAGTTAAAATGAAGCAGGTAAAGATCTAGTAAGAAACATCGAGTTTTAGGTATCTATACTAGTTTCGCAGAAGGTGGACTAGAAGAACCACAACTGTTGACGACACTTCGTTATTGAGCATACCTGTGCACAGCAAAACCAAGGTTATGTTCACTTCACAACCGAATCCCAAACTTTGGGTGCTTTGAAATGTTTTCGTGGCTGTTTTGTGCGCAGAATACAGGATCCGCATGAGCAGCAGAAGCAAGGGTAATGAGGATTAGGCAGCTTGCATAATCGGCATGCGGTGCCCATAACCATTTACAGTAGCCTACTTGCATAAAATTCAGTAAGAGCATGCATAAAATTATGCCGATTTTGACTTACGACTCCAAACTTCTTTTCCAGATAGTTTACCGTTATCCATGCGTTTATCCCTTCATCTCTGCCACTCATTATTCTTATATCAGAGTATGGATTATTAACCTTTGCACCGACATGAGGAAGTTGCGAACGAAGGTTTTCCATGATAGCATCTGCTTTCAGAGGATTATCTAGCCTACAAAACAATAAAAGACGTCACACACGTGTATTTCTATAACAATATTCTTTTACATTCTCAAACGCGATCACTATGCTGACGTAGACCTTCGATTGAAATGTCTTGCTTAAAGTAGAGTTGTACAAAAAAACATTTATTGTATACAAATAACGAAGTTCGATTACTGGCATACATTAATTCCCTTTTATGCATCTATTACACATTACAAGATATGGAAGCCAAACTATTTGAGCTTCCAAAAATTATGTCTATTATTTACGCAAAAATCAATAGAAGCTACTATTTTTTCAGTGAATTATTGTGTACAACCAGACTCACTCAACAAGCCGCATCCCAGCCGTTGCCGCGAGAAACAGCCGAGTTGACTTTTTTGATTCTTGGGGTACATATTCTTGCAAAAGGTCGAGTAAAGTGGGTTTTAACGTGTTAAAGGCTTCCTCTGGATGATCTTTGTAACTGGAGATCCCGGGTGCTTGTCAACACATGAAAACCATATCATTAAAAAAGTAGAATATTTGCACTGTTCTTAACGTTTTATCTGAAGTGTCGTACAGCCGGGTAAGCAGTTTAGAAGCATGATTAATAAATGCAGTAAAGTAAGAAATATGCTCCCTTCGGTGCTCTAAAGACATATCAAATGAATCTTGTCAACTGAGCTCTTGATCCGTTTACAGCCAGTTGTTCGTCACTTTACGAAACAAATCGCAGCACAAATGCTTTGATTTTTTTGATTCCTTTTTTCTGGTGTAAAAACGGTTGTCAAATAATATGCATTCATTTTTCTCAAAGAAATTTAATAATCGCAAATTAGATCAATAGAACACTGCCTGAAGCAAAATATTTTCCAACCCCACAGATACACTACTGACTTTACAAAGAACTGCAACAGATTTTAATATTTTCCACACAAAATAACACTTAGTGCACATGTGTTGGTCACTTAAGGTTGCTTGGGTCCAGAAATGCGCTTGGAAAGAATGAAATCTTACTTACCTACTTTCTTCATGTATACTTCTTCTACTCTGCCATTATGTTGGAACGGCCAATCCCTCCATTTGAAAACCGATATCTTTGAGGATGTCGACCCGGCATCGATCAAAACGGCATACTTGAAAGAGAAAAAACTTAACTAAATTAAGGAAATTAAAGTGGCTACAGGACAATGTTACCTTCTTTAACACGGGAAATCGTTAAAAAATTGGAAATACTAGGGAATAAAACAGCATTTCCGGACTAACTTGATCTCTTATTTAACTGGAGTCGACGAATACAGTTTCCAAGGTGTGAATTCTCCATAATATCGGCTCACATGCAAATGTTGTTGCAAGTTAAATTTAAGATGAGGAGGTTACTACTACGTAGTACAAGGCATTTTATAAGTAACTATAGGCAAACTCGATGCATGTTCACACGTAATAATCGCAATAAATCTTTGTGACAAGAACTACAGAGGATAATAAGGACGTGATGAAAAGTAACTTGAAACCATGAGTAAATTAATTCAATTTATACATACCAATGACTTACAAGGTAGCCCACGTTACAAGCAACAATGTATAAAGCCACCAGCGTAATAATAACTACAAAAATTATCACCAGCAGGGACACCAGAGTCCATTTAAAAATTTTATTATTTGAAAGCTCGTTGACTTTTGCATCCATACCTAAAAAGCGGAGAATTACAAGGTCACAAATGGTAAAAAAAGTAGAATCGGTTAAGATTTTAAGGTAAAAACAATCACGTTAGTTAGTAAAAGTTCTATTAAAAAACGATGTTCGGCCAAAATATTTATTTTGAGCATCATACACGCAGATACTTGTGTAAGCAAAGCGCATTGAGGCGTGCAAAGAATACACGAGTTTTTAATTAACTGTAGGAGGGAATTACAAAACTACTGCAAAATGCGGATGAGGGACAATACTTAACAAAATCACAGAAGCTAGGACCTTTCTAGAGAGAAGCAAAATCTTCTAATGGACACCAAAAAACATAATTTAATTTAAGAAACAATTGATGCACATAGCCTAATGAAATCTGTCGCAATTATGTAGAAATATGAATTGAATCAAACTAGGAATAAGAAGAATTAGTAAACCTACATTGTTATTACCATTAAATTTATTATACCTACGTAAAAACAATTATTAATATTTACTTGTGACAATATTTAGCTCCAAGAAGTCCAAACCCAATAAACGCACAGAGTTATAAAGACCGACACCAAGTGATTAAATTCCAGCATCGCTTTTAAATAGGATTGCTTGACCTTAAGCGTACTACTCTTTTACGGATTGAAGCATTGAAACAAATCAAATTGAATAAAAATGAACAGGCGTAGGAGTGTACTAACACGTAGAACTATTTACTACTTAGATTAGTGCAAAACGTCTCATATCTGACAGAAGGAACTTTAAAAGTTTTCATATTTTGGCCACAACAGAGCTACATTTTAAGCCACGCAATTAACTAATGTGACAATGTGCTATTTCATTAAATATTCTGAATAATATCAAATTTGCCTAGGTGAATTATCCTTTAAAATTCTATACTTTTGGTAAGTCATATCAAAATTGTAACAAGGTGGCGTTCCAATTACTATTTATCTCGATTACAAAGGCAAAATTCGAGCAAAATGCAACAAAGTAGTACTTGACAGGTATGCTAGAATGTGTGTGGGTGCTCTAATACCACATATCTTGCACGAATAGTTTTTATGCAGCGAAAAAATGTGTAATTTTCGCGTATGTCTTGTCTACTCAATATCATTATTTCAATTAAAAGATTATTTAACGCATCAACTAGATTAAACCCGTTTAACAAATATTATTTTTTGTGAGATCGTTAAAATATTTTTCGAGTGCGCATAAAAATGATCACAATTTACACTAAAATCATTCGTAAGTTCATCTACTGCCCCTCAACTGGAATCTATTATGAATACCGAATCCTTTACTGCTTTCCTATACAGACTTCACAATGAGTTTAGTCGTTAAGCTCATTTTGCGTGCACGTACAAATGGGTTTTGCATTATTGCTAACAATTGAGTAATTCAAGCATGGATGTATTTTAAAAAGTGCTACAATAAATCCTTTGTTCTATAGCGAACTTTATAATTACAATAAAGTTAAAGAGACATACTTGATTCATCTGCAGCTAGAAAAATAAATTTTATGTCGGTGAATATTCTAATTAAGAAAAGCTCCAAAGTGTCGGATTTTGTGATTGTGTTAATCAGCTTACAAGGTTTTAAGCATAATTAGCTAACGTAGAAAATCCTTTATATGTATCTCAGTTTTAAATGTTTCCGAATATAGTCGACCATATTTGCTACCTTCCATTAAATGTGCATGCTGTCAATAAGAAAAGTCTACGGTGGACAAACTCATATTTTTACAGAATTCACAACATTTAACAAAATAGGTTTATTAAAATAAAAACTGTTTTTATTAGGACACTCGAAATAACATACATTTTTCGTGGCAGAACATGCTTTTTTTGAAATGTAAAGTGCGTAACAGTTAAATAAAAAAAGTTGGGGGTGGATGAAATCTGACACCGCATGCTAAGCGATCTGCACAAAATTGACTATTATTATATTGCTTTATTAAAATTAATCTAAGCATTGCCACCTGAATCATATTACTGCATTTTCCAGAAGTATTACCATAAATTCGAAAACGCGTATTAAGGTTAAGGTTATTGTTTTCTAAACACAAATTAGGCAATAAAACATTATTGAAAAAGCATAAAGAATTCAAATATGGGACCTTGAGGAGGAGGCTTCATTGTAAAAACACCCGCTACAATCATGACGGGTGGGTTTCAAAAATCAACGCGGTAAATCAATATAGTGTACATTAAAGAATTACGTGAACGATGATGGTGCCAGAAGACGATTCGGTAACTTTGTTACTTTGAATTTCGCTGACCTTTTTTAAGGAAGCAACCATACAACAGCCTGACTTTTTATCACGTAATCTCACTATTAGACATCATTACAGCTATTTAGGGGTTAAAACATCTGTTGATGTATCGGAATCAGTTACGGACAGCCGCACCGTACTATGAAGCATTTTTAATTTATTTTGTAGTTATCGGGATCGCAGCTGCCTTTATCTGAGCCAAACTTAATCACTGTGAAGGTTCTTAATCCTGAGAAAGTTGGGGATGGAATGTCGTCTTATGTTGTCTACACAATTAAAACTACTGTAAAAGAATCATTTAACTCTACTATTGAACTGTAGACTAATATTCCTTCATTTAAACATTCCAATATGTGTGTACAGCGCCGATTCTCGGACTTTATTGGACTGTATGAAAGACTAAAATCCAAATATCTTCATGAAGGTGTAATTATACCTTATCCTCCTGAAAAAAATGTGATCGGTATATCTAGGTCACTTTCATTTAACTATTTTAGGGACCACGAAGTTACGGCTTTCAAGAAGTAGCTCTGCTGATACGGAATTCATAGAAAAGCGCAGGGTTTCCCTCGAATGGTTTATGAGGATTCATAATCTTATTCTGTAGCTTCCTACATAGAATCACCAATCACCCTGTTTTAATGAATGATGCGTATGTGCACGAGTTTTTAGAACTTGAGGGTGAACTTCCCCGGCATACCGGCGTTCAAGTTCTTTCCGGAGCAACTGCTAAGAAACTTTTAAGGAATGTAGGCGAAGCAGTAGGAAAGTTAACATTCAAGATGGATGAAGTTGACGAGGTTCGTCTCAGTAAAGTTGGTTTATTCTTTGTCTTTTCAACACGTTGAGCTCAAAATAGGCTTTACTGTTGTTTTTCGTCATCTAGTATTTTGATTTCAAAGATGAGGAATTGGAGAATTGGGACATTCAAGGTAGTAGATTGTATAGCAATCTGTCCAGCTTAGTTGTGGACCAGAATGGTAAGTTATTAAATTGAACTTCAATTCCTTACGCTAATTGTTATAGATTTGGCGAACTCTACCCTTGCTCTATCGAAGGCACTTTCAGTTTTGGCAAATGTAGAAGAGCATACTGGCTTGGCTAGAGCTTTGGGTCAATTAGCGGATACTGAGGATCAGATTGCTCATTTTCTTTCGGTCCAAGCTGAAGCCCAGTCCACTTTCCTAGTCGAGTATGCGAAGGGAGTCCTCTCCATGATTCATTCATGCCGGGTATGCCTGCGATGCTTGTGTCTGTTGTTGCAGTTTCACCTCCTCTACAGCTAATGTTTGAAATCAACTTTCCAGTGCACGTGGGTGTCTAAGCGCCTGCCTACTCTCTGGACAGTATTTGTTTTTATGGACAGACATAAAAGAATGCTGCACCATTCCTAAAACGCAGTCTTAAGTTATGTACTAACCGCTGCAAAGGCGACTTTCTTCGGCAAATAATGCGATATTGGGGTATTACGAGTAGGATTATTTAAAAATACAGATAATGTCAGTGGTTTATTGGAACAAGTTTTTTTTAAGTTGGCCTCTTATTTGTTTGCTCGTTCATCTAGAATAAAAATTTTACACTGGAACCCTGTCAAAGCCCTTAGCTTATGCATATTTATTTGTAGCCTTTCACTTCGTTCATGCAAAAATAGCGAACGAAATTCTGATTACTATCGATTATGTTTATAGCTTATGCTTGTCATTTTCCTGTTTAAGGTTTGGCTGCGGATAACGTTGCTCTTCTTTATTAGAGTGATTATGCCTAAGTCAATTTCATGATTTTCACATGTTTCTGGAAGCGTATTTTGGCAGAAAAGTGATTCAATAAGGGCAGGAGGGTTCGCTCGCACACATGCATTATGGTATAAGTCACTTCTTTAATATCGGAAATATTCTGGTAGATCAAAAGAATCTCGTTTTAGATTAATCGACTATTCAATATTACTCTTATAGAAGGTTTTATACAAAAGTGATTAGCCTTTTTTTCTTAATTAAACATTACCCGTTTCAGACCAGGCTTAACTTCTCTTCGTTGTATTAGTATGCATCCATGTTAATCAATTATGTTTGATTATTGTGCTGGAGCCATGCTATTGCATTCTAAATTAAAATTCTACTTGCAAGTTTCTATTACTTATATTTCAGGCTTGTGCACCTTATTTACTTGTAGTTATCTGTTGTATTCTAATGCAAGCCTACTTGAAATATGTTTTCACTCTCATTGTGCGAATGATTTAAGTATCGTTTATTGCTTTCTACACTTAAACGACTGCAGGATACGTTGTCAGAGAGGGTTCGTGTATTCAGAATGCGTCGAGACTACGAGTCAACCCTACGTGGGAAGCGCGAACAGAAAGTCCGTATTGAAATGTCCCCCAAGGCAGACCGTGGCAAAATACCCACTCTTGAGCGTGAAATTGGCGAGGTCAGTTCCGGTGGTTTATGAATTGTAATTGCAATCTATTCAAACTTTGCAGTTTGCCGTAATTTCTGTTTTATGTGGGGTTAGTTCGTTTTTACATGCTGACAAACCTAGTGCTTTTCCACGCCTGCCTAAGTTTAGTGCGTTTAGGCAGTTATAAACAATTGTACCTGCAAACGGTCTTATTGCATCAAATTAATTCTTACATTGAAGTCAAACACCACCAAATACTCCCGATCTGGTGGTGGATTCATTGTTTTGATAAATTTACCCTTAACATGTCAATTAGAGGTTTTCCACTGCAATCGTCTGGATAATCAAAACAGCACCCATGCTTTGGCAAAGAAAACTGTTTTGATAAATGTGTGGAAACGTTAGCGGCAGTCCATGTCTGAGATTGGAGTGGTAAATCACTCGTGACATGATTTTACAATGGCTAGCTGAAGGTGAACATGAACAGCAGCATCGTAAGAGCAGTCCCAGGTGTGCCCTTGAAGGGCCACATTGGGCTTCTAAAACTGTGCTCATGGTAATTATGAATTAAAACTCGGCACTAGTGCGGTTTCACGTAAGTCACTTCTACCGACCATTGATGAACAATTATAGTGATTTATAATAAACTGGGGGCTCCTGTGTTACGGTGACAGTTACGGTGTGAAATGATTCACGGTCGTATGCTGACACTTTGGTTGCAGTCTAATACCTTGTGACTTAAGAGCTCATTGTGTTAGACTTCGAGTGGTGAAAGACTGCTATGAGATGTTTGTTTCAATGTGTGCCAACATCTGGCATTGTCTTCAGCTAACCCACCGAGTCGAAGAAAGTGAAGAGGAGTTCGAAAAGATCTCAGCGACCATCAAAAAGGAACTCGAACTGGTCGATGAAGCTCGTTTCGAGGAGTTCAAGGCAGCTGTGATTTCTTACTTGACTACAACTCTCCAAATGCATGAAAAGGTATTCTCGTAAGCTTACAATACTTTTCAGCTTTGCACTTTGTCCGCCTAAATCAAGCAAATACTATAGCGACGCTTTTAAGCAGTTAAGGACTTCAAGTACCAAGACGTTTTCTTTCCGAAGCACAATGTACTATGTAAACCAGTCTGGCGTATACTTGACATGCGATTCCATAAGGTGTCGGTTTCAAATTGTAAGTGCACAAGACAACCGCAGCAATAACACAGTGCATTTCATTTAGCAAACTGAAGACCCACTGCTATCGAGGTTTCGTCAATTAGCAAGTCACTTTGTTATTCACTGCATTATGGTGGAATGTTGCAGGTGGTCCAACCAACAGCTCTCCTACTTGTATTGCAGTGGGCAGGGCAAGGTTACTGGAGGATTTATTAATGTAATATTCGGCAGTCGCATTGTGTGCGAGTGTGTCTGTTCCACCGTTTGAAACACGCTTGGCCTGACTTGATGAGATGCAACCAGACCACATCCTAATTGAACTCTCATGTGTGATTGCTCCGAATGTTTGGCATCCCATCGTGCATATGCTTATGATAAAGAAGCGAGTTGTTGTCTTCTTTGGGTCGATGCTTGAGACGAGGTGTTATGGGGAAAAGTTGGGTCTTTTGAGGCAGCAATTAACGTGCAAAAATAGAAGTGCCGAGTAGCAAGTAGCCTACATCAATCACACAAGATGCGCATCTCTGGCATTTCACCAGACAACCGTTCGGAAGAGCGACGTCGATAATCACAAAGTGTAGTTTTATGAAGCACCTCGACAAGACTGCCTGTTTAAGTAGAAAACCTAACATATGACATTGCCTTGTTTTGGAATATTTAAGACTCTGAAGGTATGGGAGGCCTTTATAGGCCATGCCAAGGCCATTGAGTAGAAGGCGAATGCTCACCCTGTTGCCAACCCCGCCGCCGCCGCCACCGTCGACCTCACGCTATGAGAACAACCTGTTTCTGGTGTCCGCTATCACAATGTACTCACTGGCTTGCCCCTTCCTCGCCTGATTCATCTTCGTGATTGGCTGCACAGAAATGTTTTCTGTAACCGTTGTGCTCCGATTATCCCGTTGATTTACACCTATGCCTTCTACCCGGCGGAACCTACTTTTGCAACATTACACTGATTCATGCCAAATGCCTGTTTGTTGCACTAGCTGGTAGTGATCCGCAACAAACCCGATTTTTGCATGTTGTAGACCCGATTGTCATGATTCGAACTTCAAACGAACAACCAATTGTTCGAATTCCCTTGCCCACTTTCCTTTCAGCGAGGTTGGAGAATGCGCCTAGGCAAACCGTCGGTACATTCAGTAGAGTGTGCAAGTTTCACACACTTGGTATGGTTAAAAGTTCAAGTGGCCTAGATGTGGTATTGGTAGTATGCAACAAATGTCAAGCTCTTTTAAATAATTTGCCGCTTCTGCTCAATCTGAGGAAAAAGTATCAGTTAGGATGAGCTGGTGGCAAACGATTGCCTTTTCCAACGTGAAGCTTGAGCCTCACTGCGAGGACATAGCTACTCACAGAGGTTCGCAAGCGCTGGCATGCGGAAAGTCATAGCATCATGTCGTTCGTAAACTCGTTTGCCAGCATTTGCGAGGGTAAGTGTCGGTTTGCATTGTTTCGCTGGCAATGGGTTGCAACGCGTTGAGCATGATTTGTGGGGACAAGTTTTAGTCTCACGTCAGTCGGACAAGTAGACAAGCAAACTCGAGCAAGTATTTCAGAGGCAAGTGTGAGTAGACACAAGAGCGAGTGTAGTCTGATGTGTCTTCTTTGAGAACACTGACCTGTGTTAATTCAGGCACCTGTGTGCCGACACAGGTGATTTCGCGCTCTCTTGAAAGCCAAATGTTACCTCGGCCAGCATCGAGATATCGCCAGCAATTGCTGCTGGGTTATTGACCACACTGATTAAAGCTTGCCTATGAAGTTCAGGCCAGTGAAAATAAAATCCTTGCCTCGTGCCCCGTGGGACCCCTAACAAGCACACACCTCATGGAGAAGAGGCTGGTTATTCTGAAATCCGATCGGCTAGAGATCGCAACTAAGGAATAGGCCTGCTTGGAAATTAGTGAAGAACAGTATACTAGTTTTACTGCCACTAATATCAAATGTATCTATAATTTCACCAAGTTCACTTACTTGGTCTTCACCTCTATGGTCTCAGTTAGGGGCTTTCTGGTTAGTGAGTCACACTCATGTGGACCTTTGGTTGCTTCGACCCAAGCAGCTCAGTCGTGGCTGTTCGCTGAGATTTGGTTAGGTGATAATGTGCATAGTCGCGTTGATGTTTCCCGTGGTGCCTAATGTAATCCACTTCGTGTAACCACATGGGCGCTCATCTCATGTTCACACATTGTAACATCATGTTATCTCCGTACAACGCTCTTTTACTATCCTGCTTTGTTAAAATACTATTCAAGCCCTGCACTAGTGGCAAGCGACTGCATTTGCTGCACGCATCTACTCTTTACTCTACTTACTGTTGTAATATTTACTGCTTAGGATAATCGCAAAACAAATGCATGCACCAAACTGTTTTTGCTGTTCTTCGATTCACGCGCGTATACCTGCTAGCACTTAAGGTTGTGCTAGATGCAGACATTGTAGGGCAATTTGAAATCGCCTTTGCTTTTTAGTGGTCTTTTGTAGAAGGATCTGGCCTCTCCTTTTACATTTACCTCCATATTCACAGGAATGGACTGTTCTATGCGATGCCATACACATCTACACCGTTGATAGGAATCGGCACTTGCTTAAAGCAGCCTTTACCTAAAAAGTTAATCTTGGTTGGCAATATAATGTGATGCTATTTTAGGGAATATGGCTCAAGTAACTTTAAGTAAACAGGCGAAAAGAACGCGATTATGCGTAAAATTGCATTTCCACCATGGACACTGGCTACGCAATTAGGAGCTCCAAACAACACTCATTGTCGAGCTGCCTAGGTCACTTCGAATTTCGATAAGGCAGGTCGCGGTTGGCAGGATAATTCAGAATAGCCGTTGTTTCGTGATCAACAATCGTGGCAACGCACGTATGGGGCAGGGCTTATTCCTCTTCAGTATTTGCATGTTGGCATGGTGGGCAGACAAATTCGCTTGGATTCCCGTGCTCTCGTTTAATATGTACTCAAGTGCAGTACAGAAGGAAATGTGCTAAACTTTGATACACCAACTGAAATAAATCAGCAGCTTTGTACAAAAATAAACACAGAGTAAATGGAGGCAAAGAGGAAATGTTGAGAGCGATGCAAACCAGTGGAGAAAACGCACAAATCTGCAATTACACGCTCAACAGGAAGGTGTCAGAAAATGAAAGGTAAAAGGCGACGAAAGAAACGGGTCACAATTTGTCCCCATACTTGCTCAACAATTCATCGCATATCTTGGTCAATTCCGTGTTCTCGCGGATCTAAAAAACACAAACAAGTGAACAACAGACGAATTTCAATAGCACCCCCCATCTGAAGACTCACAAATTCTACTCCTTCATATAATGCTTCACGTATCGAGATGTTTAGTAGACGATATGGAAATTTGGTGGGTGAACATGTGATATGTTTCGCCGAAGAAGACAATGCATGGGCTACAGCACGTTGTTACTATGTGCAATGAGACCAAACCCACACGATAAACGTGGGGAATCAATCATTTACATCGTTCGCGAATCGGATTTGTTTGTCTGCAAAACTCCGCTTCCATTATCAACTCAAATGTAAACTGTTTCTTAGTGGAGGTTACCTTAAAACATCGATTCAGGCTTACAGTCCCTGCTCTGATAGTACAACTTTCTATACCTCACGGACCATAATCTTTGCCAACTGTACGGCGAGGCACAATCAATGGTGTGCACACGATAAAGGGAAAAGGAAATGGTGACTCACTCTGAAGTACTCAAATAGCCCAGTCATTACTTCTGGTTGCAAAAACAACAAGCAAGCTAAATAATGGCATAACAGTTACTTTCTGTTCTAGTTGAGACTCAAGACTACGAATCCTGAGTTCAGAGCGCTTGATTGTTGCACGCAGTCCGGTCAATTCATCCTCGTTCGATCGCTTCGCCCTCTCCGTCTCCTCGGCAACCCTGAATGGTGCACAGATTACTCGCTAGCGGTGAACCATGGATGACATCATGGACAGCACACACACACACACACACTCAACAATGCATACTTCATTAGCTGCTGTTCAGCGTGCAGCTTGAGAGCCTGGTATTTCTGTTCTTGGCGTTTCAATTGGTTCTGATATTCTTCCGCCGTCTTCTTCAACGCCTCCTCATTCTAAGAAGGCAACAGGCACATTACAATCAAGTGCGACAGCCTTCCTCCTAGCACAGCAATCCACCTTCTTATGCACCCGCTTCATTTCGAAACAACAATTTGAGTCCGAATTTGTCCACGGAGGTGAGCAATTCCACCGAATTAGATGGAACAAAATCTGCGCTAATTCAGACCATCAGGTCCATCAGATCTAGGACACTTGGGGGATGGCATCACTCTCCAGAGGTAAATTCGAAAACGCCAATTCTGCTTGGGTAGTCAGAGGGTTTAACAAAAGCAACACACGCCTTGACTTATTACCCGTGACAGTGCAAAATCTGCTCTAGTGGAGGAGGCACTCGTGTTTTTCAAGGTGTCTGTGCAAGTGAAAATCTATCCAACTGTGAAAAGTAACTGCGGCTCAAAACAATGCTACCTGGCAGTAAAGAAATAGTGATCCAATCAACGTGAACAGGACACATATTAATACGAAGGGTCATGCATTTTTGTCGTGAAGAACGGAAACGTCGTCGTTTCAGCTCCACATACCCCCTGATCCAATTCCGCCTATCTTAATTAAATGATAAGTGCGCAGTGACCCACCTCTGACATTCAAACACATCAAGCAACTTACGACAGACACTACTTCGGGCGAACACTTCTTCATCTCTAGAACTTGTCTTGCACTACTCTCAAAGACCACATTTCAATGTTTTCACTTGCACCATTGGCATGTCTAGCAGTAAACCTCGATATTGAGTTTGGATAGAACCGGGTTGGAGGTAATTTCATCGCATACAGATACATCCACTCTGACTGATGACAGGATCCTCAGTTGACAAGCAGACGAATGACGCTCCATCAGCCTAACACGCTCTTTCAATAAACGGGTGATGGCAAACATGCACGTAATTTGCTAAACTTTCCCCTTCAATCATGCCAATTCGGTTTCCAATGCCCCATGACTCACATTGTGTTAACGTTGACGTTCAGGCCGTATCCAATATCAAACACAGTAGTTTCAGAAACCGATTAGTTGTAATTTTGGCAAAGTAATCTAACCATTGACCAACATTCAGATCATATTCACTTGCCAGGTTACACCCCAAATAACTCTGAAGGCGATCTCGGGACATGCGTTGAGACTGCTGTGACTGGAGTGGGGTAAGATTTGGAAGCGACAGTGCACTCCCACGTTGGCTGCATCTAGTGCTTCGCAACAAGTCCAACGTTATTAATGCACGGGGCAAAATGCAGCCCAACACAAAACAACAACGGTTCTAACGCCTACCGCTTTGAACCCCTCGATTATTTGTTTTGACTTTTCAAATCTGCGATGAAGATCGCCGAAAGCCTTTTCAATAGTGGAGATCTCCTCAATGGCCTGGTCGCGCTCAGAAATGATGTCGACAACCGACTCCTTGGCCGCCTCCTCCGCGCGCGCCTTCTCCTCCGCCAGTTGACGAAGACTGCGCTCGTATTCAGCAATGCACCGCCTTCGAATACACAACAAGGAGAAAACTAAACCTCTAGTTGTTTTTCTTCACATACTCAGCAAAACCACAAATTCGTCCAAGGGCACTGGATACCACAGACACCACTTCACTTTCAACTGCTATTTGGTCTACATTATGTTAAATGGTCGATGCGTCATGCTGGGTGATACCATTTATGGAGTACAGCAATAGATCTACAATGTAAAATTCCGGCAACAGCTGACAGAATGCCTCGCTTAGGCCAAACGTCTTGTAAATTTAATTGGTCTGTGATGATGACATTCGAGTTACAAAAATGAATTGCTACCCTACGAAATACATACAACAGTTCGCTAGAAACGATGTGCTCATTGCCCATTCCAATCTTGCAGTTCATCAAACGAATAGTCAGGAAGTAGTGCAATCTGCTTTTGGTACAACTTAACCCGTACATTGCCATTTACACGAAAGAATTGCGAATGTTTTTCTCGAAAATCAACTACGTAATCCTACGGAAGATAGAACATAGCAAAACCCTCTCTCTCTCTCTTTCTTATAATTAATGAATTGTTTTTCACCAGTGCATCTCTGTAATTTACACCATGACGGATGTGCCTGAGACATCAATTTGTATATGTGCCAGCGTGGATCCCAATTACTAGCACAGCTTCAGAGCATAGACAACCATCGTGCCCTGCCAAGTGGATTAGACACGCTGGGTGATGTAGTCACAACAGTCCCAGTAGTGTGACAACATGAATCACATGGGAGAGTGACGCAATGATGTTGGTGCTATGAGGGCAGTGCGATATATTCTATTCATTAAACGTTTTAATGACCACCTATGCAATAGTGCAAAACCTCCGGTCATCTCGGAAAAGACTCTTCCACACGTTTGCTAAACATGCGAACGAATAGTTTGAAAGCGATTTTTGTAAATGATGCACGACGCTCTGTTGGCCTAACAAGCCAACGGGCGCGTTGATTCACGAGGTGAACGAAACTGCGAAATGTGGATGATTCAGCTGGCAATGTCAAATCCACAAATCACAAAAACGCAGAGCCTGCCCTGGGGTACGACACAATGTTGCAGTCGAGATGAGGCTTTTACGTAGACTACGAACGTAGAATGGTGGCAATAGTGCTCTTTATTGCCTTAATGTGTAATTCGTGTTAAATCGCCAAAAAAAGATGAGGGAAATGAGGCACAAAAGTAATGAAAAGAACAGCCTAACGATGATTCACGTGATTGGTTAAATAGACATGAACATAAAGCCCAGAGGGTGGACATTGTAAAACCTAGTCCTAATGCATCAGGAGGTTAGAGATTAGCTGCAAGTCATTGGAGTTTGGCAAAATAAACTATGTTCGAGTCACAGAATAATTACTTTACAGCAAGTTACATATCTACGGTATTACGCTAAATAAATTTTATGTTATTGTAACGCTAGGAAGAAGACAACAAGCGGTTTGATTCAATGATAGCATAACGCCGACGTACCAATCAAACTGAAGGGAGTTATATAAACAGCAGGCCCTGGACGACAGCTACTTACTTTAAAGGGATCAAGGCAATGATAGTCTCGCCAAATTGCGGAAATCGAAAATGCTTTAAACGTGTATGTCTATTTAAAAAAAAACAGTTCCTTTACCCTAAACAACCGGGAAAATGGAGCAATCCTTAAGGATGGAAATTTTTTAGAAATGTCACGATCACGAAGCTTTATTTGTGTAAAGAAAGAATAAAGCCATATACTTGAGTGACTAAAGTCTTACAAATAATCAATTATGAAAATCACGCATACCTTACCAAAGAGGAAATGTGGCTTCTTAAGTAGTAACCTGAGTTGAGTTCCGGATAACATGCAAAGCGGATAAAATAAACTTTTTACGAAGTTTTTCTACATTAGGCGCTTAAAAGCCAGCTTTGGAACTATTTTTCTCACGCTATTAAGAGCACCATAACTATGAACCATGGGATACAACGAGGCTTTAAAAACATTAATGAGTGAAGTTCTGACTGTCCACTATAACAGAATGCATAGTAATGAAATAACCAGATTGTTCCGTAACTGGATTAAGCCACATTCAAGCCAAATTCCCAAAAATGCATATTTATAATTGCAAACCTCGGTAAGAAAAGCATGACCACGTAGAGGGATGATAACTAACACTATTGGAAGGTCAATTCTAGGAAGTAGCTAACCTTTCTTCCATAAACGCATCCGTGGTAGGAAAATCAAGTGTACTGCAGCATTGTAACCCTTCTTAACACAGAAACGGCACTCAAACAACTTGATAGTTGAAACGTAGAGGTTAAAGTGATTCCACATTTTACAACAACCAAAAGTCCATATGGAAGCGAAAGTTGCAATAAGAAGAGATGAAAGAGTCAAAAAGAGAGCAAATGACCCCCAGAAACCAACTATCATTCACTGTGAACCGGTAAAACAGCAAAATACTCAGAAGACTAAGGCAAAACGAAGCCACGTTCGGAGCTAGTTGAGTTATTTTGCAGAACGATAGGAGCAAACACCCGAAATTCACCGTAATTATCGGCAAACGGCAAGCCTCATTAACATGACGCCTTACATTAACCAAAAGCTGAATACAAATGATACATGAAAGCTGTATAACGAACCCACTTCTACAAGGGCACGACGTTTATAATAGACGAAAAGAAAAAAACTGAAACAGCGAACGTACTGCATATCGGTGACAATGGTAGTAAGGTGTTCCTTGTCAGCGCGTAAGCTGACCAACTCATCATCGACTGACAAGGAGACCCCGGGCTCGGCTTCAGGGAGGGGTGAACGGTTACCCGAGGCGAGGTCGAATGTTGCAGCCGAACTGTTACTGAGGCGACGTGAGCTGCCCGCCTGAGTAAAATGGGGATCTGCTGGTTCCTGATACAGTCAGGAAAATGGATAACACAAATTACTTAACCAAGCATATCGAAGCAAGCGTCAAGTACATGAATGCTAATGTTAGGACATACTATTATTGGGAAATCGCCAAGTTTTCTACTCAGCCGAAACGAATTTCAGATAAACTCAATTTACAAAACATGCGATGGCTTTATCCAAATCCAAAAGTGTGCTCGTGTGTGATAAGCCAGAAAGTTGATTTGTAAATTTTACTGACATTTTACTCACGAGGTTTGATGACTCGGACAGAGAACATCCATAGGCTTACTTAAACGTAGAAAAACGTTAACAACAATGGAAGTGAATGATGTTAAGATTTGGAAGTTTCAGCAAAAGGAGTGCACAGGGCCTGGTTGGATACTTACAATTAACTGCAGTGTCCTTGCACCCCAGTCGTATCGACGATAAAACCTAGTCTACTCAGTGCTTTTCCGGTTGTTTGAAAGGTGATAACACACATTACGCGAAAACAGTACTTACCTTATACATTTCTACTAATTCCAATTTTAATAGTAAAACAACAATCTTCGCATTTCTATGTGCTTAACAAGGCAAACATACAATAATTAGCCTAGCAAAAAGGCAGCAGCCAAAATTAACGCTGATAAATTTAAGAAAATGAACGCATATTTATAAAAGTTGCCAAAAAGAAAAATTAGGAAAAAGAATATGTCAACCTACCCCGTCCGATGCGAAGTTTTCAGGTCTAAATTACCAAAACGAAAATTCAAAAAGTAAGTGTTCCGTACGACCCTTTTAGCATCGCTAGCTATGGTAGAACCACTGTGTTAAATTACTCAGGAGGTGAAAAACCCTCACCTGCAAAGCAAGTTAGACTTGTCCAATTGTCCAGTCAAGATGCCCTATGTCTGCATCACGTTCCTTACTTATTTCTAGTAGTTTGATGACTTTACTCACCATTCTACACATCAGTGGCTTGCAAGTCTAGATTAATGCAACTGATTTTGGAATTCTGAAAAAAATTAAATGCGTCAAACCGTTTCACTATCTCCTGAGGTTTTTAAAGTTGCCTCAGCAGCTCGCCAGGTAAACAAGTACCCAAATGACAGAGAATTTCATAAAGATAAGAGACAGCGTGAAAACCTGGGCCTCATGATTGATTAAATGATTAGGGGCAATTAATAAGCTGCAAATGGGGTAGCTAACCTTAGCAGTCAATTGAAAACTTCCTAACTATCATCCCACCATCTACAGAGTCTATAGAATACACCGAAAACGTCAGGCAGCGCACATAAAAACCTAGGCTAGGTGACGTTTACAGACTACATCCATTGTTACTATAAGAAAATCAATCTATTTGGGGGGCAACAAGACTCAATGCAAAAGCTTACGGCATATTCGCAACGTCCAGGTTTTGGTCATCTGCTTTGTGATCTGAAATTGACATAAATAAACTGGTACTTCGGGCCTGTAGATCCTAGGAACAAATTAATTGTGAAATGCGGCAGTAGATCAGTCGGAATCTCTGCAAAGTTTTTCACAAAAATCAAATTACAAGGGATCGGCAGATTCATTGGAAATGGACAGATAATGCATAGGACACAAATCATTGAACTAGAGCATTTAATGCAAACTGTCCTGGTCCTAGACGTGGATATATGCGCCACTACCACAGCGTCATCAAAGTGAAACATTTTCAGGATATGTTGCTAATAAGAAAAATTAACATAGGTAAGGCTTGGATTTCACGGGCTACTTCTCTGAGTTTCCTTGAAGTAGTCAGGTCAGCAACTTTGAGTGGTCATGTGAAGGAGTGACAGGCATCGTGGTCAATTTAATTTTTCGATAGCATCCGAGCCCAAAACGATTTGGGAGTGCATCAATTAAAATCCGCATCATATTGTAACAGGTACTTTCAGTCAATTAAAAAAGATGATGAAACACATGAGCGGAACAAAAAAACGCATAACAGCATAAATGTAGAACGGAACCGGACAAGATATTGCACAATAAGGAAAGCATTTAAAAATGATAGACACTAAATGGTGGTATCAAATTATATCCTCTAATTTAGCGGAAATCGAATTTCTCAGATTCTACTGTTTTTATCATCGGATGAGGAGGAATCATTCCTAAAGATACTGGGTTCATCATTCCGACGGAAGACATGTAAAGTACATGGGAACATTAGGCTTGATAGTCACTATGCATGTAGAATAAATATGCTTAGGGCTCCAAATAGTAGTGGCTTATTTCTTTAAGGTTTTTACATCGGTCAGACCCGAAAAAAAATTGTGTGTTAGAAAAACAATAACACAAGTGAAATTTAATACTTCAGACCCATACCGCTACCGCCAAGAACTGGCTCATTTCCAGTGCATCCGGAATTGGCAGCAGGGACCGTACGTGGAGGCGGAACTGGACGAGGGCCTTTAGTTTTGAGCCGGACACTCCTAGCCTCAGTTGTGCCGTCCGCAGAAAAATCTTTGGACAATTCAACTGGTTCAACTGCGGCACGTATTGGGGATGATAGCTCAAGAGTTCCAGAGTTGTTAGCTTCTGGGGCAGGAACGGTTGAACTGGTGGGCAGCGTTCGATCAGCCGACTTATCGTTAGAGAAATCAGGCAAACCAGAGTTGGCCGGTGGGCTGGAAGCCAATTTCGTGCCCCCAAAAGCTGCTCCCAAGCCAAACGGATTTGTATTTTCGTCTATTTCATCCCAATTTATGTTAGAAAAGCCGCCATCACCCATTATGAGAAAAGTGGGCTTAACCAGTATCAATGTGGACAGTTAGGCCAAAAGGCAACGAACAGACTCAGACATTTTCTAGGCACAAAGTCGTTGCTGCACAAATATTCATGGAACACAGACAACAGGAAAACAAATAAAACAATCGTCAACAAAAATCTAAAAAATATCTGTACACCCCAAAATTGCAATATAACATCATCAGGTGAAAAGAGCTAGCTTAGTAATCACAAAATAAAAATTGCAAAAAATTAAGGGAATTATGTGCAGTTTTTCTGTCCTATTGAAATAGCTACTAATTCAAAAGACAATAAATACTGCAACTTTAAAATTATTTCACAAAACACCTCAGCCAATTGAAAAAAATTTCCCACGAAATGGGGGCGTGCAATTGAATATTAAATAAGTATTACACTCGAAAGCAAAAAGAACAATATCGGATTAATGAAAAATTTTATAACAGCCTCATCTTGACTGCAACATTGTGTCGTACCCCAAGGCAGGCTCTGCGTTTTTGTGATTTGTGGATTTGACATTGCCAGCTGAATCATCCACATTTCGCAGTTTCGTTCACCTCG